CGCGAAGTTGATGTATTTCCTCAGCGACCAGCACGGATCAGCTCCAGGCATGATGAAGCGATATCGTCCTCTTTTGGAAGACCAAACAAAGTAGTTTCGCTTTCACAACGAAGCACACAGCGCCTTCACGACATGGCGGCGGCGGCAACAATACTACAGCGAGAATAAAAGTTACGCCTTCTTTCTTTGCGTGAACATTTGGGCGGCGTTATGCAAATCTTCCCAGATAGTGATGTAGGTATGTGGGGGCGTGTTAGAACGAGGCGTTTTAGGTAGGCGTGGTTGACTCTTAACTTTTATAAAGAATATCTCTTTGGATTTGAGACTTTAGTTTTTGCAACTTTACAGATCTTCTTTATGCACCAAGAGCTTGTAACACTCCAAAGAGAAAGGAAACCTTGAAATCGCATCATATGATCCCTTTAAATTAATTAGTTTTGGCTTGTTTGGCAACTTATACAGTTAAATTTAAATTATTTGTTGTGGAGTGAGGAGAACTAAAATAACTTATAGGCTAGCTATTGTGTTTATTGTTTGTACATTAGGGCCTATAATTCTGCTTTATTTACTGAATGTAATTGTGGTTTGTGCTTGAAAGTGAAAGAAACTCAAAAGTAACTCAAAAGTATTACATTTACATTGTTTTATCCAAAGCGACTTACAAATGATGACAATAGAAGAAATATAAGTGTTGAAGGTTTCACAGAGGAGGTTTTGGACAGCTCCTTTTCAATTTGTATCATAAATCAGAAAATGCTGTAACAGCCATAAAACAATTTTAGGAACAAAATGTAATATAAATAAATGGGATTGACTTATGAACAAACCTCTCTGTAAAAAATGGAAAGTCTGGGAATGTTCGGCTCAGGGCATGAGAAAAAATTAATTAGAAATAGCCTTTATAGAAACGTATTGTAATTGTTGCTTTTCTTTCCACTAGTCATGTTATGGAGGCAAAATAGCCCAAAATCTCCAAATTGACCAGTGCATGTAAAAAGCATAATATTTAATTTGGCTTTAAAAGTAGGTTTTTCTTTAGTTGGTGCTGCCTAAGGAAATGCTCTAAAATTAAAATATTGTTTACTTGTGATCTTACAGTTGTGTTGGAGGACAAAATGGTCAACCTTATTCACACTGAGGTTGATGACAGTGAAGACTCCATTACAATTCAGAGACAATAATTTTGTAATTTTAATTTGTAATTACTTTTTAAAAGACAGTAATAAATAATATATAATGTATAACATTTTGGAAGTAACTAACCCAACACTGATTACTGCATTACAGCAAAAAGTAATATACTACTGTAATGGCGTTACTTTTGTAATGTGTTACTCCCAACACTGTATATACATAAAACCATCATTAACTTGAATAAAAACATAAAAAAGCAAAAATACACATTATTTAACATTTTGTAGAAGTTGAAAAAAAAAAAGATGTGGAAATGGTGCATCACCATCTTGCTCTGACTTGATCGCACCTCACGTGTTGGTGTTTGGGCTCCAGTAACATGGCTGAGAACCACTGGTTTATATGTTTTCTGTTTCTACATGGCAGATCACCATAAAGAGGAGACCTCTGCTGTATGTCATCAACATCATACTTCCAGTATTTTTCTTTCTTGTGTTGGATGTGATGTCCTTCTTCATAGACGCAAGTGGAACAGACAAGTTGAGCTTTAAAGTGACTTTACTGCTGTCTATTTCTGTGTTGCTGCTGATTCTAAATGACACGCTGCCCTCTACAGCTGATAAAATCCCACTGATTGGTGAGTCTAACATCTGCTGATACCACTCAAACAATATTTACACATAGTGCACATATCATCTAATTACTGTTTACACAGTGCAAAGAGAATACCCAACAGCATATATCAGTGGTTCTCAATTCCAGTCCTGTGGCCTGTAGCACGAAGCGAGATGAACAAACTCAGAGTTGCAGAGTAAGTTTTGAGTTGACAAAACCCGATAAAGCCAATCTGGGGCCCGTTCTTCGTATGTCGCTTATTACATCCGAGATGAAATGTCACATCCAAGATGTTGTGTCTTTAGAAAGAATGAACGGCACACTTAAACACTTATGACACTTGCACTGATTTAGCGTGACTGCTCTCTTTACTGGTTTTTCATATATCAACTTTTACCGGAACACTTTCAGATACAACATAACACTGCATTCTGGGAGATATAGTTAAATAAACAACGTTAACAAAATACACAACACAAGATGATATTTTCGCGCTAATCAGGATCTGGCTAATTCGGTTCTTCGAACGCACCTGCTGTTGATGATTAGTATGGCTGGAATGAGTAATCTGAGATAAATGCGAGTTCATGGGTTGGTTTAAAAGGGGCTATGTATTGATACTCTAAGCCATGATCAGCAATGCAACGATTGGCTGGCGGCAAGACAGCAACGTAATGAAATCATATAATTAAAAAAGACACCTGACGAAAAACTTGACAAATTTCTGGACTTTTATAAGGAAACAGCCAAGCGAA